TGGTAATATATCTTCATTGCTTAGAGAAATATTAGATAACTGAATCTGTTGAGTGCTAGAAGAAAGGATTCACTTTGTTGGATAATTTATTTTTTGTAGAAAAGTTTTGTTTAATTGTTATGGAGACTTAGTAGTACATCAATGTACATTTATGCCAGAATTAATTATTTTTTCTGCTAAAATTTTCTGTTTTCCTAATATTATGTAATTTTCCAATGTAACATTTTTTAATGATAAATAATAGATATATATATCCAAAAGAAATCACACTTTGTTAAAATACATTAAATAAGATGAAAAATTTTATGAAAAAAGCTAGTTGGACTGTCCACTCATATTAATGCTTTGTGTTGGCATATCATGACACATGGGCCGTGATATGCCCATTGCGATTTTATTTTATTTATTGTGTTGACAGTGTTGGCTTCACAAGTACTTCATCGCTAACGGGTCAATAACTAGCACTACTATCTCATTTGTTTACCCTTTCCCTTGATTCTTATTTATTTTTGCATTGTTATTAGTATTTTGTTCGCATTATAATAACCATATTTTCAGTAATATTAATAACAGTATTGATATTGATATCATTGGAAAAATATCCTAAGAATTCAAGAAATGCGGAAATCTGTTCAGGTCACTCAGGGCCTAGCTATTGACTCCTTTTAGACAAATCACTTGCCATCTTAGTGGTATAAAATTCATAAAAAATGTGGTTGACAGTACATGTACCAGTGTACTGAGTGTTAACCCTATGATGTGGCTTTTATCATCACCATGCTGAGCCCTGCACTGGGTTCCATTTACTCTTTACCGCACTTTGTGTACAGTTCACCACTTAACCTGTTACTGCTGGGTTATGTGTATCTGCTGGGCATGGCTATACGTGTTGAGTGGGAAGTTCTGCTACATGTGGAATGCTGCTCCCAGTGGCAGGATGGTTGCCAAAAATCACTGGAGTCTATGATGCCGAAAGATTTCTAATACCATCACTGATGGATTAAGAGAAAATTCAGCAGTTTGGGGAACAAGTTTTTCCTGCTATCTACAATTTTGGATGTGGCATGGATGATATATCAATGTTTTTAATTTGGTCCTTCGAGATTTTAAGACTTTAAGAGGGATGTACCTCCCCAGTGACAGTTAGGATCAACAAAGTAGATAACTATTTAGTGAATATATTGTTGAGCAGGCTCCACTGTGTGTGGCATGGATACTTGCTGTCTGGCATAAGAGCTTAGTGTATCAAGCAAGCAAGATGCTTTCCTTGAATGGATTAAAGTTATAACAGAAATCTGTATTTAGAAAGGAGTTATTGGAAGCATAAGATAAATGGTGATTAATTGCCATTATATGATATATCCTGTGACCAGTGAATTAACATGTTATTTATTTAAGATAGATGTGGTTATCATAAGTTTTGGAAATGGGAAAATCCACATAAACTGTAATGATATAGCAGGTGACTTTAAAATATCCAAGTGTTTCAAACAAAAAATTTGTTCAGATGTATCTAAAGCAATGGTCACACAAGTTGTGCATGGCTGGGGATCACTGGATAGGCATGCTAAGTGTGGTTAGTTACAGGCTGGGGATTGATCACACTATATAAAGTATCCCCCTGTAGAGAACCATCATAAAGTAAAGACCTGAGTGTCTACAATGACCTCCTGGATGTATTATGATCAAAGATAGTCTTGGATTTTATGAGTATTGTTGCATATTGATTGGAAATTTCAAGAAAGAAGACACTTAACTTTTAGAAAAGCAATTCCACCTTTTTTTAGTAATGATCACATAACAGTGCCAGCTACCGTGATACCCCATGATATCTGAAATAAATGTTAATTGTGGATCATGACACAGCCTTCCATATGTATGATTATACAATGTGTAAAGTAAAGTGTCTTGTTGATTTCATCCATTATTATTAACTTTGACTTTTTACTGTCGTGATAATTATTGCTGGAATTCCATAGTTGTTCTCTGGGTTTCATTTTGTCCACTAGGGGTGTAAATAATTTCCAAAATGAGCTCCCTGTCATAAGTGTGTTAGAGTGGGTGTGTGCTTGTATTTGTTGATCAAATGAACATTTGTCTGGATAATGCTTAAAATTTTGACTAATATGACATAGTAATCAACATTTAGATGATCAAGTAATAAGCTTCCTAGTAATGATACTACAGTTTTTGTTTTGGCATCCTCTGTCCTCCTGTTGCGGGGGGAGAGATGAGCTTGCTCGTGCTGCACTGGGGGGGATTTTCATCTTGGTGTCCCTCATAGCTGTGGAGGCATCCTGCTCTGTGAGGGCATCCCTGGACAGACAAGACATAACATCCAAAGACTGGTCAACCTGTTGCGTGCCATAAACAGTTGTTTGCTCATTTAGCTTTAGCTGTTGCCATTCAGGGGCTGCAGCTCATCAGAAGTAGTTTTAAAGCTTTGTTTTATGCTCAGTTACTGGATAATTGTGTGTGCAGTAGCCAGATACACAGAGTGGGGTAGAAATATTCTGATATTCTCTTGGTTCTCCTTATAATGCATAGTCCCTTAACACAGTAACACAGTACTTTTGCTAAGCCAGGACAAAACCTTTTAGCTGTCTAAAAACTACATCTAATATCAACTTGTGAGATTTGAAATGGTTTGTAAATAAATGGTCATGAGAGTCCATTTTGTTGTGTCTTGTACATGTTGTCTGTGTGGTGCCATGTTTCACTCATTACACCAGAGGAGGTCTGTCCTGCGATGAATGAAATTGGACAATAATTGGTTCAGCAGACATCACTTCTTATCAGACATGATATCACTAAACTATGATGATTATGTAGGTACAGTTTTCTGTGTTTGAAGATTGTTATTGACATTATGATTAATGCAATATTTTTCTGATTTAGGTACTCTGATTTGGCCCGAGCCTACAAAGAGAAGGAGAAAGAATCAGACAAGCTAAGAGACATATTAACTAAAACTCAGGATAAAGCTCTGCGAAAAGTAAGTTAGCTGAATGAAAAATAGACCTAATTTTGAATGCATTGTTTTTAGTCAGTATTCTGATTCAGAATGACATTAACAGAGTAGATTAGTAGTCATATTTTTCTTTTCTTTTTTATTACATACATTTGGCAGGCAATGGAATGAACATTTGAAGATTATAGATTAATGGATTAATATTTGTTTGTATTAAAAAAAAAAAAAGCATAATAGCAATGTAACTTGTTTGTATTCCAGTAAGTGTTGAGGTAGTAGTGTCTGTGTGTGAATGCTGTTCATTGTGACAAAAGTAGAAAAGGCATGAATGAGACTGCGTATCTTTGCATTACAGATGTAGTTGACTGGTTTTGATTATATCTTTGTTAGAAATATATGTTTTTTTATGTGAGGATGAATGTAGATATTAGTGGGCTTGTTTGTATGTGAAGAAGAGTGTTGGTAGCAGACTATGTTTGTATATGGGGAAGAGGTAAGAAATGGTGTACGTGTGATTGTATGTTAAGAAAAGTTTTGACAACAGTGTGTATACTTATACCTAAGTATATCTAACCTTTTGAATTTGTATTTGTAAATCCTGAATATCTGCCATTCCATGTTGATATATAGGCCACTTTTTGTATTGACTGTTTCCTAGTTTTAAGTAACATACACAGTTTTTATGTTAACCAATTCACTGTGGATGGTTAAACAGCTAGCTTGTTCCTGGGACCGACTTGTATTCATAAATTGGTGTTTGCATGAACCACACTGACTTGTTTGGTGTTATTAAGATCAATTGCAGAAATGCATAAGTAAGCCCATCTATACCTCATGTAATAAGATAAAACTGTAAAGTTGTAAGGTGATTTTTCCCCCACTTGTACAGCATAAGAGATGATAATTTATTTGTTGCTTAAAAAAATAAAATATAGGAATATAGGAAAAAGTTGCTTGTATATTTCTCTTTTCAACATTTGAATATCAGCCAGGAACAGCTCAGTTTTGTGCTTTTTCTATACAGAACATTTTAAATTAGCTATACACTCCTGTTGTTTAAAGAAATTGAAATTGGGAAAAAGTTATTTGAAGTTTGGGCATTTTTTGAGTCGTTATTATTACTTTTATTATTATGGTGATAATAGAAATAATGATATTAATCATAATCATAATCATAATCATAGACTTTTCAAATTTTTTTCACCACAAATCTAAGGGAAAACCCTGAAAACACTCTTTACATGTGGGCTGCCACTTTGATATGCAGCGTTGCTGTACATTAGCTACTGTCAATAAATGTGATAGAATCCCCAGCTCAATCAGTATGCTGTAGAGTCATTTTGTGGCTCTTGGGTTTTGTTTTTGGTGGTGCTTTTGAAAATCAACTGGTTTTAAATTTGTGGTAGACTCTGTGAATTATGAGATAAAAATGTTTTAGTTGTCCTTTTCTTTGGCAAAAAATATGGTTGGTTGGGTAACCTAAACCAAAAGTATCATCATTATTATTATTTTATTATTATTATTTTATTTATTTTATTTATTTTTTATTTATATTATTATTATTATTTTTTTTTGCCTTGTGATAAATTGTCTTATGAACTTGTAGAATGCTTATGAACCTGAAGATCAGTGAAAACCCAGGAATGCATAATTTTGTTATCCCATGAATCAAATGTGCTTTTCCATAGAATTATGTGTATGTGAGCCCATATCCTCCCAGATGGTCTCCTGAGCACATAAGGGAAGTTTATCCATCCCCTTGTCACTCATCACCTAACATAAGACAAATCTGAATGCTTGGGTCAGCTACTGCCAGCTGTATATCCTCAATGTAGCGTGTGGTTGACATATAACTTACAGTAAAAAACAAATGCCATCTGGAGTTCAGTCAGTGTCACCTCTGGCATAGCTAAATACCATCTGCAGTGAATGGGTGAAAGACTGATAATATTACTGTTAGTATTTAGATGTAATTAGATAGGTACAGGAATGTGAATTTTACAACTAACTGGCAAGATTAATAATTTGGTAACCTTTGCCACAGGCAAATACATGATAGTCTAGTGTTTTATTATGTATGTGTGTGACTAACCAAGTTTATGGTTTGTTTAGGTGAGTGAACTAAAAGAACAGTGTACACTAGAACAACAAGCTAAGGCTCACCTTGAGCAAGAGCTAAGGAGTGACCTAGAGGAGAAAGACCATAAAATCATGGCTCTTCAGACCAAGGTATGTATCTTTGCAATGACTCAGGTTTAGGGGGCATCATCTACCTGTTAGCACTGGCTGCTTGGTATTGCACTCACTCCTTGTCTTGTGTGAATATTAAGTTGTGTATAGGATTTGTCTGGTTTTGCTGTTTAAAGCTTTCTTTGTGAACAGAGATTAATGTCAAATAGCTTTACTGTTAGCTAAACTGTAGTAAAGGTATGGCTATGGTTTGATGCCAAATGCAAGACAAACTGTGGCTTTACCAGGTTGCCTTAAAAAGCAGATAATCTGCCACCTTAGTTAGGGGGTGTTTACTTGATATGTTTAACAGTGCCTTGCTGTTTCTTTAACAGTACTTGTATTTGCAGAATAATATGGGATTAGGTGGAAACTGTGGTATTGTACATAGGAATTAGATGTGCATGTTTGGTATACATATTGGATACCCTTGCATGGCCTGTATTGTATAAAGTAGATACTGTACGTAATGTAACCAGGTCTCAGATCACCAAGGAACAAGAAGTTAGAGAAGGAAGAGATAGTGAATAAGGTGGGTTGAAAATGGGCATGAGGATAACCTAGTTAGAGTCAAGCACCAAGTTTAATAGATTAACATAGTAAGGATTGGGATGAAATTATATAAGCAAGAGAACAGGCAAGATTGGTAAATGTAGGTAATAAAGAGTAATGGCTCCTTTAGAACAAAGAATCATCAGTTTATCACACATTTCTAATGTCAGCTTCCATTGTAATACTGTACATATCAATAATGGCAACTTGATGATATATTGATAATATAACCATTTGTGTTGCACCATAAAGTAATCAAAGAGAAATCAGTCTTTAAATGTAATAGCAATTGGTAATAAATACCCTCATCAGACAGCATGAATTAGACATAGAGTTAACTGAAGCTCCATATGCATGAGCTGCCTACCTGTAAATCACTTTTTAAGGATGTGCTTTATTTGATCTTTGTATAATTGTTAATACAACTTTTAGAAATCAGACTAGCAAGTCCACTTACTGTTTTAGGAAATAGATTTAGTAATATTTTTCACATCACTTCAGTGTGCCCTTCTGGAGATATATGTATTTTATAACATGTTTGTCAAGTATAATATTTACAGTTGATTTATGTTATATATTTTCTTTAATAATATTAACATGTCAGCTTGGTCAATACTGTTTACAGCATTGTAGCCATTTTTCCCTTTGTAAAAATGTATGACAATATCAAAAGATTATGAGCAGTCTATTTTAAGAGGTACTTCAGAACTCTTGGATGAAAGGATTGATTTGACGTGCTAAGCTTCAGAAAAATGTATATATCACATATTTATTTCTGAGCCATCCTTTAAAGTACTGATATTTTGAAATATTGGTATGATTTTTCTACTGTGATTTTGTAGACAGAAAATAGTAATATGTGTTTTTTCACAATAGAAGGCTGTGATATATATGGAATACACTTTACTTTGGATACATAATTGTGCATGTTGACATTTTAAAATACTGAAGAGAGAATTACCTGGTAAATCAAATGTTAGATAGTTATAAACTTATTGTATTATAAATCTTGTGAATGAAAAATGTTTATAGGAAGAACTTCATGAATAAATCCATAGAATTTGTATTTTATCTTGATATATGGCAGGTAAAGGATTATAATACTGCTAAATCTTATTGAGTTGAGAATTCATTAAGAAATTTTAGATACTCAGAGGTAGTAAGTTTCTGATTCATGAAAAGCTATTATAGTTTAGTAATACCTGTCAATAACTTGTAGTAATATGGACAGTCTTGAAAGATTGGCTCAATCTTGATATTCACCCACTTTATATATTTTTTGAAATATTAAGAAGTCATTGATATACATTTGAAAGGTTTCACTGAAAGAAAGAGTTAAACTAACTTTCAAACTTGTAAGATATAATGTCAGTCTTCTCCCTTACTCTTTCTCAGTATTACTTTTTTCACTTTCTCTATTCTTCTTTGTACTCTAGTTCACCATTCCTGAGATTGGAATAGATATTGTTAATCATAGCCTTCTCTGACAATTTTCTTCAGAAATGCATTACTAAATTGTGTGACAGGGCTATTGGTGTAAGGTTTTACAGTATTCGGGTACTGTCCACTAGGCTCTTTTTATGAAATTTGAAATCTGTTTCACAGAGTTTTAAAAAATCTGATATTGAAAGATGTTTTAATCATATATATACCTGTAATTGGATATTTGGAATCAAGAGAAATTTTAGATAACTTTAATTTTTTTTCCTAGAAGGAAAGTGTATTTATAGCATAAAAAGGTGCTCAGAAAAGGGGTGCTTTTTCAGATTACTAACATATTGGTTCCACTGTTTACTATTAACCTCTTGTTAGATAAGATTGTGACTTAGCTCTGGGATGCATGTCTGATTGCCATGATATTTTTGAGGTGAAGCTTCCTTGTGGGCCAGGTAAGGCAAGTCATTCTCTGATTCTTGGAGAGGAAATGGGAGAAATGGGGGAAGGAGAGAAATAGGGGGGTGTAAGGGTCTAAGGGTTCACTGTGGCTGTTTGTAGGTGAGTGGACTACGGGAACAGTGCATCCTTCAGCAACAGGCCAAAGCCCACCTGGAAGAAGAGCTAAACGCGGACCTTGAGGAACGAGAACTCAAGATAGCCGCACTCCTGACCAAGGTGTGTCTTGTAGGAGCTTGTCGTTCTTAGGTTTTGTGGAATGTAGTAATCTAGTCCTTTCGTATCTGCTTTGAAAACTGATGTATGAAGTTTTGTTGCCTTTTTGTGTGTGATTTTGGATGTAATGATAATTTGTAATGTATTGTTGAATCTAGTGATCTGATTTTTCTGGGGTGTCCATTTCAGACATAAATAATTGCTTTTGATCTTGCAAAAAGTAAATATGATTAAAGATCATGATTTATTTGTAAAAACTATATTAAATGAAGCTTCTTATGATTTTTTTTTGCCATTTTTTAGGAGCTTAGAGAGCCTTTGGTCTTTGTCTAGATTTTGCTTTGTCACAGTCTGTATTTTGCAATTTTGAAAATTTATTATTATTGCTATTTTGTGTCTGCTTTGTATAGTATGTTATTCACAGTTTGTAATCACCATAATGATGGAATGTGGGATCCACAACCTTTTCAAGATTCTCTTGAAATTTGATGTAGATAAACCGTAACTTGAATGGTGAAACTAGTGTGTTTGTTAGTTTGTTCACATGACATTGTTCTCACAGGTAAAGATCCTCCAGGAGGGTGTTGTAGCAGGGGATATTGGCAGTACAGATGCACACAGCCAAACCTCAAATGACAATCACTCATCTGGCAGCCAGCGGGATGAGCGGCAAGTCAAGAGCCAAGACGATACTGATAATGTTTCAGCTGGTGACAACTCTTCTGGAGTGGAGAGTGTGTCAACAGCTGAGAGTGCTTCCATGACAGATAATAATTCTATGGCAGATAATGTATCTGTGGCATCTCATGGTTCAGCCTCCACAGCAGTTACTGCAAATGCTGAAGCTGATGAACTGATAGAAAAACTAAAAGGTATGTTTTTTTTCTTTGTTAGTAAGTACATATAATAGGTCATTTATGTACACATTGATGAATGATGTTAGACATACAGACATTTTAATTGATGATTAAGGTGCTACTTTGTTGGCATAGTGGAGAATAGGGCATTGGGACAGGGAGACTTTCAGGAGACAGAAAATTTGATGTAATAGTGAAGACATTGGTAGAAGGAGCCCCAGGAACAGAAAAGGGAAGAGAAACACTAGTCAGCAGAGATAAGATGTAATGGGTACATGTAATTAGAGAGCATTTTTCAGAACCGAAGAGGTCATAGTACGATCCAGAATGCCTGGGACAGAATCTGGAGTGCTTTTCTTGCCAAATCTGTGTGGATAGTGTGTCCACCTTCCTTGACAAAGATACTGTTTAATCCAAGTCTGACATGGTATTTGCTTTATGAATGTCCCAGTTTTAGAGAGCAAAATGGGGACCTTTTTCATGCTTTGTTGATATTGGTTGTTCAGATTAAAATATTTATTCAGAGAATTTATTTAGGAATTTATAAGAGATTAATGCCCTTGTAGTGGTGAATGCTGTATAGTTGGTATATAATATGTACAAACAGTCTTCTCTTCTATAAAATCCATTTAGTTGTGTATTTGTTATCAGTGCTAACTTATTTTCATTTTTTTGTTTTGCATTGGGATTAATATAAACTACAGCATACTAAAAAAAAGTAAAGAAAAAAGACATGATCTTATTTTGCAACGAGTAGTAGGTTTTAATAAAGCAGTGCCGATTAGGGTAGGTCTTACTAAGTTCTTTTACAAAACTGGAATTATCTTGGTGATTATAGAAATATAGAACATTGAAACTGTGTAGATAGTCCCCATAGTATTTTAGGTGAAATATATGACATTTGTTATCTAGATGTACCATTGGGGGTTATGTGTTGAGGTTATATGAGTGTTCAGCAGCAAAGAATTTGATTTAAGTTTCATTTTATTTAGTAATAATTAACTAATTAAGGAAAGAGTTTTTCTAACGGCATTTCAGGACACCCTAATTCTTTAAGTAAATTTCAGAGTGCTTAAGTTTAGACATGTACTACTATTTGTGTACATCATTTCATATAGGCTATTTTGATTCAGTATCCCCAATATGAAATGGTATACAAGAACTATATGGTTGGTCAGGAGAGTTTACAATAGGTGCAGAATTTACCAGTTCCCAGATGTATAATATGCTTGAAAGTTAATTTTAAAAATATTCTCGCAAAGTTTGTATAGGAATATAGGAG